CCCTGCATGTGGCGGAGGTGCCAGCAGGGGTCTAGTTGGGCTAGACTGGTAGCGGTGAGACAATATGGACGTGCCCTGTGAAAGTGTACGGCCACGGCGGAGCCTGTCAGCTCTCGAACACCCTCGATGATCGAACTCTCACAGAGGGGGTCGAGGAGCGCAGGCGCCCCTACAAAAAAGGCTCAGAGCCCGCACGTGGCGGTGGGCGACTCTTGCAGCGGGCCCTTGGGATGGGGCTGAATGATGATAGAACTGAAGGGCCGGCTGCGACGGGACTGCAGGACGGCTCAGCCGACCTTAAATTGGAGCGGCACGGCTCCCCAGCGCGTAGAAATATTCGGCTCGTGTGGCTGGCTAGGGCTGTATAGGTGGTGGGCAGCCGAGGTGAACAGAGACTAGGGTATTAGGCTAGCCCACCACCTATGAGGGCGCATAATTGGTTGCGCCGAGGTCGCCCGTGTCGACCTGGGATGGCGCCGACTGGGAGGCAGCACGCACTAAGGCCCGCTCAGGCACCGAAGGGCGACGCGTTGGACGGCTGCTTGGGCGTGGGCACCGGCGTAGGCGCAGGGGCCCTCTCGGCGGCCGCGCGGGCGGCCGCGGCCGCCGCCGCTCGCGCCTGGGCCTCCTGCGCGGCGGCCTGCTGCTGGTTGAAGTGGTCCAGCAGCATGGTCTCGACCTCTGCGATGGTCGCCAAGCCTGGAGCCTCTATCCACTCCCAATCCCAAGTTTCGACGACCTGGCCAGCGATGGTGTCGACCGACTTGAGCTTCCACACGGACGGGTAGCACATGCCGTTGGGCATCTTCCACTCGCCCGGGTACGTGGCGGGCCACCATTTTTTGAACACGCGGGTGGCGGCCGTGTACTGGGAGCCCTGCCATGCCGAGCCAGACTGCGTATCGCCTGATAGGCCGAAAAGCTCCAGCGTGTTGGGCGGCGCCCTGCCAGGCTCGGCCGCGGCCCCAGGCGGGGGCGCGGTCCCCTCCGTCGCCGCCGTCGCGAGCCCGCCCGCAGGAAGCCTGGCCGCCATGGCTGCGTTGCGCGCGCTGAGAGAAGGGGGAGTGCGAAGGGAGCGAAGAGAAATAGCCCATAAGCCAACGGCCAAATATGTGTGAAACCTAGCTAGCTTATGCGTGCGCCTGGGTGAGGAGGACCCTCCTAATGGGCCGACTGATGCATGCTTGGCCCGGTGCGGAGTCGATAGGGATGAGGATGGTTCCGCTGCGCATGTTGACCCGCAGCGAAAGGCCGGTGCGAAAAGGTATGCCCGTGCCGAATAAAATGGGCAGTGCATCGGTCTCCTGTAGAATGGGGAGGTGAAAATAGCGCGGCCTCTCCACAGAGGATGGCAGCCGGGTCTCCTGCCCGTGAAATTGCTCCATTAGGAGCCCTACATTGATGGGCAGTGGAGACCAGAGCGGAATATGGCCTGCCGTAATCACTACCAGCCACTGTACGACTGTAGGCGGTGGTGGCACGGCCTCAGTGGGGGCACAGCGGGCATCGCCGTACTCGAACTGCGGCAGGTGCTGCGCATCTGGGGTCGGCATGGCCTGAGGGGCTAGGGTTCAGGGAGGCGGAGGATACGGGAGAGGTAGGACAATGGGAGGCTAAATGGCCGCACCAGGATCATGGCCTGGAAGTCTATTAGGATGGGGCTGCTAGCCGCTGCATCCTCCAAAAAACGCTGAGGGGTGAAAGAAGGCTGGTCCCAGGCCCCCGTGTGAAGGAGGTCCAGAAAAATCTGGTTGGGCACGTAGACAGTGACCAAACCGATAGCGGGTGAGAAACGGGCAGCATAGGGGCCTTCACCCGCTGCGCAGTGAGGATAAATGTGGAGGAAGTTGGGGGAGTTGGCCTCGCACCAGCGACCATGCCACCGCTCGACGGTGTGATTAGCGACATCGGGCAAGTCCATGTGGAGCTCGGGGCCTACGGTAGCGCGGGCGTGTGGCCTAGCAGGCGGCCCGCCCTCGAGCTGCCATGTAGCTTGCCACTGGGGTACCGAGGCAGGCTGGTACACAGTGGTAGGAGACAGTAAAAGAGCGTGGCGCCTCGAGCCGCCGCTGAGAAAGCGGAAGACTTGCTGGTGGGCCAGGAGGAGCCGCTCAGCCAAGTGCTCCCAAAAGGGCCAGGCGCTATGAAAGTCTGGTGGCAGAATGCGAAGCACATCTAGGTGCCTCCCCGGAGCCACTTCAGCAGCGGGCATGTCCTCGTCTGCGTCGGCGTTGCCCAGGGTGCTGAGCTCGCGCATCATGGCCTGTGGGGGGGGGGGGAAGCGAAGGAAATGAAGCTTAGAGAGGGAGAGGAGGGAAGAGGTAGGCCTGGGCTGAATGACCAGCTGCATGGCGTAAGTTTAACGCCTGGCGGCATCGGCTCCTTCATGAGGCTTGCGCGGCCGCCTGGGCGAGAGGCGCTGACCGCAATGCGAGAGGCCTTCGCCTTCTCGTAGCTGAAGCTTGAGGCGCTCTCCATCCTGTCGATACGGAGCTGCTCCTGCCTATGCTCCTCTTTGAGCTGGGCAATTCTATCCTCATGCGCCTTGAGGACTGTACTGCGCTGCTCGACCGATGCTGCGTCTGGCGCTTCGGCTGGCGAGCGCGAGCGCGGAGCCGCATGGGCGGCGCGGTGAGACTTGCGAGCCTTCTGGTGCCGAGGAGGAGGAGAGGCTGAAGGCGAGGCCGAGCCGTGGGATTCCTGCGGGCTGCTTTGAGCCTCGGCTGGTTCTCGGCGCTGTTGCGCAGGCTGCTTGAGTGCGCTCTTGCGCGGCTCCGTGCGCCGGCGCGAATTGTAGGCCACCCTGGGGGCTTTGGCCGTGCGCTCGTCTGCAAAGGAGACCTGCTTGCGCTTGCGAGTGGCAGAGGCGCGGGGCGCTGCTGGCTGGTCGGCTGGATCCGGAGAATCCTGCGGGGGAAATGGGGAAGAGACAGAGGAATATGAGGCGTCGTCTACCTGCGCAAGCCTTCTAGGAAACGCTGGCGGGCTGGAGGCCCTGCGCGGCTGGCGCCTGTGGGGTGAGGCAACTTGGCAAGATACGCGCGGAGGTGAAGGCGGAGGGCGCGCTGTAAGGGGTGGTGAAAAAGGAGAAGCGGCCTGGCCGATCCAGCCTCCCGGAATGGTGGCTTTGACCTGCACCATGGGATGATCTGGGGGCGGCGAGGGAGGCATGGCGCGCGGAGGAGGCGGAGGATGAAAGGTGGCTCCATAGATGTGCCTGCCGTGTCCTATAGGGGGGCCGTTGAAATCGCCAGGCGGGCGTGGGGGACCCGAGGCTGAGGGAGTGCTGGACAAAGAGCGCTGCACTGCTTTGGCTACCTGGGCGAACTGGACAGGTGAGAGCAGGGGGGGAGGAGCTGAGGCTGAGCGAAAGTGGCCCGGTGGCGGGTGCCTGGGTCTGGCCTCGCGAGGAACCAGCACCCGCGGCCGTCGGGACATGAGCCGCCTACCTAAATGTCGAAGATGTCGGCGTTGAAGTCCTGCGGGGCGGGCGATGCGGGATGCCACATGTGAGAGAAGGTAATACCAGTGAGCGGGACGGGGCGCGCCGCTTGGCGGGCGCGCTCGGCCCTGATTTGTTTGGCCCGGTCCCGATTGCACTGGATGCGCCTTTTCTGATCCAGAGTTAGAGAGGGAGAGGGCGGCGGCGGAGGGAGAGTGGAGGGAAAAATGGGGGCTGTGCCCAAAAAGTGCGTGGCTTCTTCTTCCGCCTCCGAGTCCTGATCGGCAGGGTCGAGCGGCTCGGGAGCCTCCGACGGGAGGTCGCTATGGCGCCGCGGCTCGGAGGGCCTGGTCGGAGCCAAAAGCCTGCGGAAGCGATCCAGCTCCCCATCTACTTTAGCTCGGGTGCGAGGGGCGGAGGGATCAGCGAAGTCAGGGCCTAGCCAAAAGTCGCTAGTCATAGATGCGGAGAAACGGAGGAGCGGGGCCAGAATGGCAGGGTCCGTCTGTGGAGGAAGGTCCTGTGGGTCTTCAACAAATGGCAAAATGACGTCCTGGTATATGGCCTGGGCGAGGCATTCGCAAAGGGCAGAAGGATAGGTCTTTTTGTCTGCCGTGAAAAAGCGGGCATTCTCGTCCTTGCCTAAGAGTGTGCGATGCGTCCCCCGTGGGTGCGTGCACTTGGCCCCTTGGGGGCGGTTGAGTAGGAGCGCGGGGAGAGAGGGAAGGCGGAGCGATAGCAAGCGCGTGGGGGCCTTGCCGAATTCGCTGGGAGGACGGCTGAAACATGCACTGGTCGAAGTCCGTGGTGCGGACAGCCGGGGCAGCAGCCAAGGCCATTAGGGGCCTCCATATCCAGCTGGGCTGCGCTCTGGGTTCCCAGTGCGCGGGGCATGGATGTTCCATCCAGGCCGAGGTACCCATGTCTAGGTGCGCGGCAAATAGGAGGACCAACGAAACGAGAAGCAAGTTGGCTATCTGCTATTGGCGGGACTGCTTGGGCGTAGCGTTGGGGATGCCCCAGTAATGGTCGATAGTGCGCAACGGCGGGGGTCCGTTGGGTTTCCAGCGGGCCGCGCAAAACGTTTCGCAAGGCGGGAGGAGGAGGAGGGAGGAGGGAGGAGGAGGGAGGAGGAGGAGGAGGAGGAGGAGGAGGAAGGAGGAGGAGGAGGAGGAGGAGGAGGAGAGGAGGAGGAGAGGAGGAGGAGGAGGAGGAGGAGGAGGAGGCGGAGGAGGAGGAGGAGGCGGAGGAGGAGGAGGAGGAGGAGAGGAGGAGGAGGAGGAGGGAGGAGAGAGGAGGAGGAGGAGGAGGAGGAGGAGGAGGAGGAGGAGGAGGAGGAGGAGGAGGAGGAGGAGGGGGAGGAGGGAGGAGGAGGAGAGAGGGGAGGGAGGGAGGGAGGGAGGAGGGAGGGAGGGAGGGAGGGGAGGGAGGGAGGGAGGGAGGGAGGGAGGAGGGAGGGAGGGAGGGAGGGCTGGGAGGGAGGGAGGAGGGAGGAGGGAGGGAGGGAGGGAGGGAGGGAGGAGGGAGGGAGGGAGGAGGGAGGGAGGGAGGGAGGGATGAGGGAGGGAGGGAGGGAGGGAGGGAGGGAGGGAGGGAGGGGAGGGAGGGAGGGAGGGAGGGAGGAGGAGGAGGAGGGAGGAAGGGAGGGAGGGAGCGAGTGGGTGCTCTTCCATGCTCCTGCCGCTGCTGCCGCCACGCCCGGGTCGCAGAGGTGGCGCTGAACTGCCTCCGGGGCGAGCGCTTCGCGGGCGGCCCGCGGCCGGACCGGCGAGGGGCGGAGCAGTCGGCGGCCGAGGTGCGGGGCGGGGATTCGGATCTACAGCGTCCGGCCTGGCCTAAGGAGCGATAAGCAAGGAGCGGAGCCCCTCTTTTCACGAGCAAGGAGCGATAAACAAGGAGCGATAAGCAAGGAGCACTGTAGAGCGCACCGCTCTACAGTGTCCGGCCTGGCCTAAGGAGCGATAAGCAAGGATCTGGACGCCCGAGATGGGCACGGAAAGAATGGGTGCGATGCCCAACAGCAGTTCTTGTTCATTCTGAACAGGATTCGCTGTCCACGCCGCCGCGGCCTGTGTCCATCCGAGACAGAAGGCCGCCTGCCCAACAGCGGCCGCTGTTGGTTTGGGACAACATGTGTTGTTGGGCATTGTACCCATTCTTCCGGTACCCATTTCGGGTGTCCAAAAAGGAGCGGGGCCCCTCTTTTCACAAGCAAGGAGCGATAAGCAAGGAGCGATAAGCCTCGGCCACAGAACAAGTAAGGAACGAAACCCCTCTTTTTACAAGCAAGTCTAGGAAGTCCGAAGGGACACCAGGAGGGCTCGCGGGGATTCGGATCTACAGTCTTCGGCCTGGCCTCAGGAGCGATAAGCAAGGACTTGGCATCGCCCGGACGATAAAGAAAGACCTGGCATCGCTCGGACGATAAACAAGGACTTGGCATCGCTCGGACGATAAACAAGGACTTGGCATTTGGCGGGGATTCGGATCTACAGTCTTCGGCCTGGCCTAAGGAGCGATAAGCAAGGAACGAAGCCCTTTTTCTACGAGCAAGTCTCGTAAGTAAGCCCCTCTTTTGACAAGTAAGGAACGAAGCCCCTCTTTTTACAAGCAAGTCTAGGAAGTCCGAAGGGACACCAGGAGGGCTCGCGGGGATTCGGATCTACAGTGTTCGGATAAGGAAGGACTTGGCATCGCTCGGGCGTGTGCCTTTATCTTTTGGCGAGGACCATCGAGGAGCATCCTTGATCATTCGGCGGGGATTCTGGTCTACAGTGTTCGGTCTGGCCTAGGGAGCGATAGGTAAGGACTTGGCACCGCTCGGAGGTGTGCCTTTTTCCTTCGGCGAGGGCCGTCGAGGAGCATCCTTGGCCATTTGGCGACAAAGCCACGCACGGAATCGACAAAAACACAAGGAATGGACGTCCGAGCGATGGCCCGGGGGTTCAGGTCTACAGTATTCGGTCTGGCCTCAGGAGCCGTGAGCCGCGGCCGCAGGAGCGCGTTCCCGCCCAGCCTGGGTCGAAGGGCCGGCCCGAGAGCCCGAGCCCCTCCGGAGCCCGAGGTGGTCCTCGCGTCAGCGCCTCGGCTGCGCTCTGGGCGTCCTCATCACAAGCGCTCAGCAGCGCTCAGCAGCGCTGGCCCGAGGAGCGCTGAACAAGGAACGGGGCCCCTCTTTTCACGAGCAAAGTCCAGGGAGCCCGAAGGAGCACCAGGAGGGCTCGCCGCCAGAGAGGAGGCGGAGCGCACGCACGCCGGGGGGGCGGCCGAGCCCCTTTCTGAAGAGCGAGTGCTTCCTTATCCAGGCCGGACCCTGTATGGCCGCCGCCCGGCGGCGGATCGACCCTCGGGGGGCCTCGGCGGGTGGTGGGTGTGGGCGTGCGGCGGCGAGCCCCGGGGGGGAGGGGAGAAGGAGAAGGCCTCCTCTCAGGAGGGGAAAAACACACAGACACAATAAATCGTCGATTCCCCAGAAAATATGGAAAGATATGGGAAGTGGGGGGACGACAGAAACCCCAAAAACATAGGAAAATATGGGGAATCATTTTATTTGCGTGTATTTATTTGTGTTTCCCAGGGCCCCTTCATCCTCAGCGAAGGCCGGAGAGGTGAGAAGGGGAAGGCCTCCTCGGAAGGCGGCAGGGCTCCTCGGGGGCCTTCGCGCCTGCTAACGGGTTCTCAGTGCCTTCGAGGAGGGTTTTGGGCCACTGTTCTGGAGGCCGGAGGCCTTCCGAGCCTCTTGAGCAGGCTCGCCAACCCTCGTTTCCCCCTTGTGCTCGCCGCCGAGACATGCTCGGTCAGTTCGTGTGTCGGCCCTGCCAAAGCAAGGCTCTGCCCGTGGGTCCTGTGTTTCGCGCCCCGTGTCCTCTGCATTCCGGGGGCAGTGCAGTGTGGCCCTGGGGCGGGTCTCGTGTCCTCTCGCGCGTCCTCTTCAATGGAGCTCTAGTGTACTCGGCCCCACAGGGCCCGAATGCAGCTCCACACCCGCCGCCCCCCTGGGGCCCCAGGACGTCGACGCTTCCCCGGGCGGTGGATTTTATGCACAAGAATCCCCGTCCCGCACGAGGAGGTGCTGCGCGCCTTTTCCCGCGAGCGGGCGGAGAACAGGGGCAACGTTGGGGGGAAAGGGAGATTGGCTCAGGTGGGGGTGCATCGACCCCCAATCGCCAATGCGTGCGGATTCGCCATCGGGGGCCTGTCGCCGATCTATCGGCCATATATCGCCGATCCCATGTCGATGATTCCTCCTTCCTGAGCGAGTGCCTAGGGAGGACGAGGAGGGAGGGCGGGAGGGGGGGGGAGAGGGAGCAGGAGGAGGGCGGAGGAGGACGAGCACGAGGGAGGAAGGGGGAGGAATGGAGCTGGCCCGCCCTTTCGACTGGCCTCGGTGTGCGACAGGGAGGAAATTCTTATTTGGAAAAGGATTGGAGGAGGAGGAGGAGGAGGAGGAGGAGGAGGAGGAGGAGGAAGAGAAACAGGTAGATGTAGAGGAAGACAAAGTGAACGAGGAGGAAGAAGAAGAAGAAAGAAGAAGAAGAAGAAGAGGAGGAGGAGGAAGAGGAGGAGGAGGAGGAGGAGGAGGATAATAATGATAATCATAATCATCAGACAAGTAGCAGAAGAAAAATAAGGAGGAGGAGGAGGAGGAGGAAGGACGAGCCGGTCCCGCCTGTCGTTGTCTCTCAGGAGATGGCGCGCAGGGCGCCGAAGCGCCCGCGGCTCGGGCCCCGGCAGGTCCAGCGCGCGGCTTCGCGCCCGCCGTCTCCGCCGCCGCCGCCGCCGCCGCCGCCCGCCGTCTCCGCCGCCCGCCGCCGCCGCCGCCGCCGCCGCCGCCCGCCGCCGCCGCCGCCGCCGCCGTCGTCGCCGTCGTCGTCGTCGCCGTCGTCGTTGTCGTCGTCGTCGTCGTCGTCGTCGTCGTCGTCGTCGTCGTCGTCACGACGGGGCCCCTTCAGGTCCAGCGCGCGGCTTGCGCCGCGGGCGCCACGGGCGCCGCGGGCGCCACGGGCGCCGCAGACGCCGCGACGGGGCCCGAGCCGGACCACGCCGCCAAGGGCCGCCTGCACGCGGTCTGTGCGGAGTTGCTGGGCCGCGCGCCGCGGGCGGGCGACGTCGTCTACGAGGTGGACCTGGCTTGCGGCGGCCAGGCGATCGACGCAGAAAAGCGGGCGGAGGAGGTGGAGGGTGGAGGAGGAGGAGGAGGAGGAGGAGGAGGAGGAGGAGGAGGAGGAGGAGGAGGAGGCGGAGGAGGCGGAGGAGGCGGAGGAGGTGGAGGAGGAGGAGGAGGAGGAGGAGGAGGAGGAGGAGGAGGAGGACAGGTCGCTTACCTGGCCGGCGGCGGCCATGTGAGCGACCTGCGCGGACATTCGCGTGTACGCCCTGAGATCTTGGCGTCCCATTTATTGGAGCCAGGCGTGTTTTTGCCTGGTTTCGGACCCGACCCAGCTCGAAAAAAGGCCACAGAAAGATGGTATCTAGGGCTTTGGTCGTGACTCCTCACGATGCTCACAGTTTTTCGATGCGTCGGATCTCGGGGTAAGCAGCCCGCGTAAGGTCTCGCGCAGGCGCCGTATCGTGCCGCCCTCGTGGCCCGCGAAAGCCACCGCGTAAGGCCGCTCTGTTATGAGGAAGGTCTTGGAGACCTCGCGCGGTGCGCAGCACTCTTGTCCACACGCCCGCCCCGTCATGTACGAGACGACGTTCGCGTGGCGACGTTCCGGCGCAAGTCTGACGTCAATCGGACGTGAAGCCGACGCACATGCGACGTGCATCCGACGTGCATCCGATGTAAATTGGGCCTCAAGTTGCCGCGCGCGGTGCCTCTAGGATCCGCTCTCAAGTTTGCAGCCAGGCCGCTGAAAGAAGGAACGTTTTGGGCTCAGGAGGTGCTCAGGTCCAGGACGGGGAACCCATGTGTGGCCGAGGCCCGCCGCGGCCAGAGCAGCCCCTCCGCTCCTTCTCTGGCCCTCTCCTATATACATATATATGTGTGTGTATGTATGTATGCATGTATGTATGCATGCATGCCTGGATGGATGGATGGATGGATGGATGTATGTATGCATGCATGCATGCATATATGTATGTATGCATGCATGCATGCATGCATGTATGTATGTATGTATTTATGTATGTATGTATGAATGAATGAATGAATGTATGTATGTATGGATGGATGGATGGATGGATGGATGGATGGATGGATGGATGTATGTATGTATGTATGTATGTATGTATGCATGTATGCATGTATGCATGTATGCATGTATGTATGTATGTATGTATGCGTATATATATATATGTATATATACTGCAGCACCCCCGCTGTGCGTCATCTCGCCCGGGGGCCCCTGTCGCCCCGTCGCTCAGGTGGCGACCCTGCGCCTGCCCTTCCTGGCCGAGCTGGGGGCCCACGCCTGGGCCTCCGAGCCCTACGCCAGCCGGCGCGACGCGCGCGCGCGCGCCGCCGAGCTGGCGCTGGAGGCCCTCGGGCGGCCCGGCCGCCCGGGGCCCGCCCTGCGCGACCTGGGGCCGCCCGTCCCCCGGCACTCGGCGCTCTGAGCCTCCGGGGGCGGCCGCGGTCCTAGTGGCCTCCCGGGAGGGGCCCGAGCGGGTGGGGCCGCGGGGCCGCGCCGCAGCGTCGGTGCCTCGGCGGCGCGGCTCGCGCGTGGAGCCCGGCGTGCTCCACACGCCGGCGGCGCCGATGCCTCGCCGACGCCGCCTGTGCATGGCCAGTGTGCCGCCGATGCATCGGGGATGCACCGCCGACGTATATCGGCGATGCTGCGCAATCCTCCGACCCCCTCTACTCGGACCCCATCTAGAAGGCCTCTATACAGGTGACAAGGGTAACGGGCAATGGCATGAAAATGAAGAAAACTCGGAGGTCCGCGCGGATTCTTAGGATCGGCGCTGGGGCCCCCTGGCGGCGCCTCTGGCGCCGCCCCTGGCGCTCGGAACGCGCCAGGATGAGGCTACCCAGCGCCGATCCGAGAAATCCGCGCGGACCTCCGAGTTTCAATGTCTATGTCATTGCTTGTTCCCCAGAGGTGCCCCTGGCCCGAGGTGCCCGCAGCTTTTCGCTCCCCTTTGGAGGCCCTGGGGCCCTCTGGACCTCGCGAGGGTTGCTCTGGAGGCCGTTGGGGCCCGTTGGGGGCCTCCTTGGGAATCCTGGGGGCAGCTTGTGCCAGGGGTGCTACCAGCAACGCCCTGGGGACGAGGCAGGCTGGCCCGCGCGCTCAGACCACCCACGATCGTCGTGATTTTGGTAGCGGCATCAACCTCCTCCTCCTCCTCCTCCTCCTCCGCCCTCCTCCTCCGCCCTCCTCCTCCTCCTCCGCCCTCCTCCTCCGCCCTCCTCGTCCGCCCTCCTCCTCGCCCTCCTCCTCCTCCCTCCTCCTCCTCTCCTCCGTCCTCGTCCTCCTCCTATCCTCCTCCTCCTCCTCCTCCTCCTCCGCCTCGTCCTCCTCCTCATCCTCCTCGTCCGCCTCCTCCTCCTCCTCCCTCCTCATCCTCCTCTCCTCCTCCTCCTCCTCCTGTCCCCCCTCCTCCTCCTCCTCCTCCTTCCCCCCCCTCCTCGACGACCACCGCGGCGACCTCCGCGACCGGCGTCTCATCCCGAGTCGTTTTTGGTGACGGCCCTGGGACCCGGCGCGGGCGGCACTTCAGGCGAAGCGGTTGCGAGATTTGGGCGGCCTCGGGCTCCCCGACACCCCCGGGGGGACTCTTCGGTGCTCTTGGCCACCCTAGCGTGGCGATGTGTGGGAGAACCCTCCCGCCTTGGCGCCTCACGGCTCCGAGGGGGGGTCTGGGCACCCGCGCCCGCGGGCCGCGCGCAGGCAGGGCCGGGCGACGGGCGCCGTGGGCCCGCGCCCGATGCTGCCGAGGCGCGCCTCGGCAGGCGGGCCCTCTGGCGGGGCGCGCTCGGCGCGCCGCCGAGGGGCTGTGCAGCGAGGCGGGCGGCAGAGAGACGGCTCACGCTGGACGCGGGGGCGCGGAGCGCCAGGACGAGACACGGGGGAAGCGGGTGCGCCTGCTTCTTTCTGCAGCCGTGCGGTCGCAGGGCTCGCGGGGCCTCGGGCACGTGCGTGTGTGTGTGTGTGTGTGTGTGTGTGTGTGTGAAAGAGAGAGAGAGAGAGAGAGAGAAGACGGGCGCGTTGTTTGTCTGTTTGTGTGTCATGTTGCCGTACGGCACGCGTGTCATGTGGGCACGTGCGTGTGTGATGGTCGCGCACGCGAGTTCTTTACTTCACGACCTTCTCCGCCCTGTCGCCGCACGCAGGGCCGCGACGCCAGAACATTTGTGTGTATCTGTCAGTGTCTGTGTAATTGTGTAAATGAGTATGTTTGTGCGTGCAAGTGTAAGTGTGTGTAAGTGTGTGTAAGTGTGTGTGTGTGTGTGGTGTGTGTAAGTGTGTGTGTGTGTGCGTGTAAGTGTGTGTGTGTGTGTGTGTGTGTGTGTGTGGGTGTGAGTGTGTGTGTTCTTCCCACTCTTGCATGCTGGCCAATTCGCTTTTCGGTGCCCCCGTCTAGCTCAATCGCTGGTGCAGCCAACTCTGCCCCGCCGCCTACGAAGAAGGGTGCGTGTGTGTGTGTGTGTGTGTGTGTCTGTGTGTGCCTGTGTGTGCGTGCGTGTGTGTGTGTGTGTGTGTGTGTGTGTGTGTGTGTGTGTGTGTGTGTGTGTGTGTGTGTGTGTGCGTGCGTGCGTGCGTGCGTGCGTGAGTGTGTGTGTGTGTGTGTGTGTGTGTGTGTGTGTGTGTGTGTGTGTGTGTGTGTGTGTGTGTGTGTGTGTGTGTGTGTGTGCTGTGTGTGTGTGTGTGTGTGTGTGTGTGCGTGCGTGCGTGCGTGCGTGCGTGCGTGCGTGCGTGCGTGCGTGCGTGTGGTGCGTGCGTGCGTGCGTGCGGGCGGGCGTGTGCAAGTGTGTGTGCGTGTGTGTGTTTATGTGTGCGAGTGTGTGTGTGTGTGTGTGTGCATGGGAATGTGTGTGTGTGTGTGTGCGTGCAAGTGTGCAAGTGCGCGTGTGCAAGTGTGTGTGTGTGTGTATGCGCGACTGCTCCCAGCCAGTCCACCCAGCTGCTACAACGGGCGGCAACGTGGCGAAGTGTCGCTGGGCCCACCCGGCGCACGAGGAGGCTACGAGGCGGCCACGGGGGGGCGGCAACGTGGCGAAACCTCGCAGGACCCCCCCAGTGCACGCGGCGGCTACGAGGCGGCCACGGGCGGCAACGGGAAAAGTCCTCGCCAGACCCAACCCATTCCTTTGTTAGCGATATAAGACAAGCAAGAGCCCCCTGAGTGCAAGCACAGCTTGGGGAAGTGCTCGTGGCGCACATCGGAGGCTCACAAGTGGGGTGGTTCGTCCGCCACTCTTCGTGCTCCCGGCCCGTCTGGGCCGTGCCCCCCGCCCCTTTTCCTCGGGCCCTTTTTGTCCTCTTCCTCCTCCTCATTCTTGCTCCTCCTCATTCCTCCTTCCTCCTCATTCTTCTTACTCTTCCTCCTCATTTTTCCTCCTCCCCTTCCTCTTCCTCATTATTCATCCTGTCTCTCTGGCGCCCCTCAGCGGCCGTAGTTGCCAGCGCTGGTGGAGCTACGGGCACTCCTCCACTTTCCCCAAACCGTGCTTGAATCTAAGGGTTCTTATTCGTTGTATGAAGAACTGGGCCTGGCCGTCGGTGCGGCGGCTATGTCGTCGCCGTCGCCCCCGTCGCCGCCTCGTCGCCGCCCGTCGTCTGGGCCTGCACGTCGGGTCCGCCGCCTTGTGGTTGCCGTCGCCGCCTCATCGCCGTCGCAGCCCCGTCGCCGCGTCGTCGCCGCATTGCTTTGCATGGCTCTGCATTGCTCTGCCGTGCTCTGCATTGCTTTGCACTGCTTTGCATTGCCTTGCATTGTCTTGCATTGCCTTGCATTGTCTTGCATTGCTTTGCATCGCCTTGCATCGCTTTGCATTGCATTGCTCGCGTTGCATGGCGTTGCAATCGCGCTGCTTCGCAATCGCACTGCGTTGCTTGGCTCTGCATTGCGCCACATAGGTTCTCTTTTCTTAAAACGGAATAGGTTATACCCCCCCCAGGATTATCGACACCCTTTTCCGTATTACAGTTTACTGATGATTCTGCCCCATCGTCCAGTCTAGATATGAGTTCATGAGATGCCAAGCAGACCGGTAACGCCCCCCCGTCATCCTCTGCAACAGTATTATGCGCGCGCATTCGTTTATCACAAAGTTTCCGAGAATCCATGGCAAAAAATGCGACGAAGTGCACACGCGCGCGTCGTCGCGCGCGCACATGCCGAAATTCTTTACAAACCTTCGGTTTCGTACTGATTTCAAAATCGAGTGTCCAAACAGCGAATAAAAAACCATGGTTTCGCAACACGGATTTGCAAGACAAGCGTGCGCGCGCGTTCTTGCGAATTCTTAAGAAAACCATGCGTTCTTCAACAATTTCAGAACATGCTACCAAACGGGCTTCGCGCGCGCATGTCGAAATCGTTCGAACGCCCTTGCGTGCGTGTCGTCGTGAGAATCCTTTGCAACAAATGGGCCTAAGTGCACTCGCGCGCGTCGTCGCGCACGCATGCCGAAATCTATCAAAAACCTGCGGTTTCGTGACGATTTAAACATCGAATGTCCAAAACACATGCAACAACACATGGTTTCGCAATACCAGTTTTCAAACAAGCGTGCGCTCGCGCTCTTGTACATGCTTACGGAAACCATAGGTTGTTTTCAGCATGTTCATTGTTTTGTACCAAACAGGCTTCGCGCGCGCATGTCGAATTCGTTCGCGCGCCCTTGCGCGCGGGCTGGGGGGGGCACGATCCGCGTCAAGAAATACCATGCGGGCCACTCTCGCGCGTCTGCAGCGTGTGCGTGTCAAACTCCTTCCAAAACCTTCATTGCCGACGCGAAGACGCCGTCATCGTCGTCGGCGTTATTAGCATCGGCGCCGTCACTGGCTGCCCCGTCGTCGCTGTCAGCATCGTCGCCAGCATCGCTACTATCACCATCGTGTCTATAGTTGTCGACGTTGCCACATGATGCCGTGCCCGCCAACGTCGCCGACTCGCACGGAAGTGCCCGCTGGGATGTGCGGAGCGGTCAGCGCCATTGCGTTCGCGTCGGTAACACCAAACTAATTGGCCGCTGCGCGCGCAAGCATGCGCGGGTCAGTGCGGCCGCAGAGATGCACTAGCCAACGCCAGGCACTCATCGAAGTCGCTTCCGCATTGGTTTTGCAAACCAGCTTGCAGGTGGGTGGGTAGGGTGATTACGCGAGCAGTGGAGTCGACAATTTCAAGTTCGGCAAGGTGAAATGCGCCACGTAGATTGCTCCACTTAGATTTCTCAGCACAGATTGGTTAGAAACGCAACATCCTGTCTTGGTGGTGTACACGTTGGGTAAGCAACCCTTTCCTGTCGCACCACCCAGCGTAGATTGCTCCACCTAGATTTCTCAACGTAGATTGCTAGAAACGCAACACCCCGTCTTGGTTGGGTACACGTTGGGTAAGCAACCCTTCCCTGTCGCATCACCCGACGTGTCGGCAGGGCGGCCCAG